AAACAGCAGAGCCTGCACTTGATAAGAGAGGATGTTTTAACAGAGACCGAGATAATAGTGGCTTCCACAAGGTAGACCTTTCTTTCCTTCCTCAAAGTCCCAGGGGAAGGGTAGACTCCATCAGGTAGATGGTCCCAGGCACCCAGGGTTGCTTGGGCGTTGCCTTTACTTGTGTGATTTTTTAAAAAAATATTTTAAAAATATTTTTTATTTTTATTTTTTTAAGATTTTATTTATTTATTCATCAGAGACACACACACAGAGAGAGAGGGGCAGAGTCACAGGCAGAGGGAGGAGCAGGCTCCATGCAGGGAGCCTGATGTGGGACTCGATCCCAGGTCTCCAGGATCATGCCCTGGGCTGAAGGCGGCGCTAAACCGCTGCGCCTCCTGGGCTGCCCTACTTGTGTGATTGAAGATGGTTTCAGCACCAGCTACCTCTCTGTATGTGACAGCTGGAGAAGCCATGGCTTAGAAGCTCTGTTCACACCCTGTTACCCGGACTTGGGGACATAACCTTACTGCAAGGGAAGATGGGAAATGTAGTTTTCGGCCAGGTGGCCCTGTGCCTAGCCACACCTTGGGAATTCCATTACCAAAAGGAAGAAGCAGAAATTGGATATTGGGAAACCTCTGTCCCATCAGCTTCTATCTTAGGAAAGCGTGGGCTGAAACATGAAGCACTTTATAGAGAGCCAGGAGGTTTGTAAAGCATGGCAGTACCATGCTTTTAAAAAGCATCCTCTTTCCACAGATGGCACCAGTGGCCGTGTGGCCAGCAACCACGGGACTGTTGTAGTAACTCAGGAAGGAGGAGATCTACCCTGACTGCCTGGGTGAGCCTGGCCTTTTGATAGTTTGACAGGCTGGGCGTTAGTGGGTTCCCAGCTGTGGTTGCTGCACATCTGACTGAAGCCAAGGACCTGTTTGGGTCTGAGTTCAATCAGCAGGCTGATGCCCTTTATTTGAGGTTTATCTGAGGACATGTTTTTATAGCTTGTTAATAATGTAAGTTGTGGGGCGTGCACCTGGGTGGCTTAGTCGGTTAAGCATCCAACTCTTGGTTCTGGCTCAGGTCATGATCTCAGGGTCCTGGGATCAAGCCCCTGTCATCAGGTTTTGAGTTCTGCTTCTTCCTCTCCCTCCCCTTTGCCCCTCTTGCCATGCTCTCTCTCTCAAATAAAGAAACTTAAAAAAAATTGATGTGAGTTGGATCAGTGGAGAAATGATGACTGTCAAGAGTATAATGGGGTCCTTGCTTCCAGGTTGGGCCAAAAGTGCCCTTTTATACCATGAGCTTGAATAAGCTCCAGGAGAGGGGGCAGGGCCTTCTGGGGCCCCTGACCCTTCCTGGTTCTGCAGACAAGTTACTTCACTTCCTGTGCTCTAGAAGAGAAAATCATTCTCCTGCCTCCCTCATTTGTCAGTGTGTTTATTTATTTATTTTTTTTTATAAATTAATTTTTATTGGTGTTCAATTTACCAACATACAGAATAACACCCAGTGCTCATCCCGTGTCAGTGTGTTTAACTGCACATCCCTATCATGCTTGTGAAGTCATCTTCCTGCTGAGAACAGAACCTTCCTGATGAGAATATCCTGGGGATTCCCCAGTATTTCTTGTGTGCCTGCCTGGGAGATGGGTGGCAGAGGGGAAGGGTATAGATTTCAGACAGTTGAGGCTTCTCAGGCAGGATCTGCCAAATAATAGCTGCATGGCCTTGACCAACAAGGTATTCTACAGCTCCTGTGAATCTCTACTTCCTCATCTGCAAAACAGAACAAATATAACCTGTCCCAGGTTGCTCAGAGGGTCAGAGAGTGCCCCGCAGGCTTGGGGCTTGCAACAGTGCAGGCATTCCTGGGGAATTCTTGAAGGTTCTCATGCTATGTTTATCCAACCTCAGGCCTGCGGTATGTCTTCTCCGTGAGGCAAATGTGGTGCTCCCCTCCAAAGGAGGACCCCTGGGCCTTTGGTCCTGCAGCCCAGGTCAGGTTGAGGAATGCTCCCTGGGTCTCTGTAATCCTTCCCTATGTTCTGATTCTCTGGGCCTTTCAGGCGGCTGGAAACTTGCTGTGTTCATATGGCTGGTCCCATTATGGCAAAATCAAATACAGTGTTTTTTTTAAAAAGGCATTTTGGCTCAGTCTCACCTTTCAATATTTTATCTCACCTGTCATCACATGCTCTGAGCGAAACAATCTCTCTTGGACATAAAGACCCACACTGTAAATAGGTTGCCCTTCAGCCCCGGAAATGTGGAAGGACAGGTCAAGTCTCAGAGTTTGAGCGCTGCCAACGTGCTCAGAAGTGACATGGTATTCTTAGAAGGGACTTTTGTTTGAGATTGTTGCCTTCCCCACCACCAAAAGCAGTGACACCAGAAGATTCTAGCCTGTTGCGAGGGTGAGTCATGCAGGAATGTGTTGGTCCTCTGCCTGTTCTCCTAGGCATAGGCTGGCAATGCCTTTTGTGGAACCAATCTGTGCTCAGTTAAGAGACGCCTCCAGTTGGGCGTGACCCCATGTCCCCTCAGTCACAAGGCTGCCATTTTATAACCACGAGGCATCCTTTCAAAATGAGCTTTGTGGGAACTTAGTCGTCACTTGATTGTGAGGGGAGAAACCGATTGCTTAATTATGAGCCCATCTTGAGCCTTTTGGGTGGCGTTTTGTTGGTGGTGGGAGGTGAGAAGAGACACAAGACCTCTGTCTTGAGGTTGGGCTGTTGGCTCTGGCCTCCGGGAGGAGGCAACTTCTGTTCCCAGCAGACCTTTGCAAAGTGGCAGAGCGGCTATGGCCTGCTTTTCAGCTGGCTGAAATGCCAGGAGCGCTCCCAGTGACATTTCCCACACAACGCAGAGAATCCCAAGTGTTCAGATGTTATCCCCCCTCCAGTCCCTAAAGCTCTAAGAAAAATTCTAAATGTCTTCACTTTGTACTTATTTTTCTTCTCTTTCCTTAGTGCTTGCGAAACCACACTGACTTCCTGAATTGAAATGTTCTGCAGTGAAGCTTTGCATATTAAGTTGAGCAAAAAGGGGTTGTGCGGGGGAAGAGGGGTGCAAGGGGGTGTGTGGGGAGCGAGAAGGAGATAAGGGGAGTCTGACAGGTGCATTCAGTGGGGTCTTGCTCAAAGGGAGACACTTGGTCACAAAGGGAATGCTCCCTTTACCTGTGATTTGGTATTTTTTTGCCTGCCATGTAGCCTAAACCATGAAGGACAGAGGAATTTTGGTAAATCTCTGGCATAGCTGTTCTGGGCATGGGAGGCTCCGTATTCTACTTGAGTGTGAGCAGCTCTGTAGGCACTGCCTTGCTGCTTACCTTTGCTTTGGTTCAGGCCAGGAGCAGTGAAGGGACTGATCCTCCCTGCTGTGCTGGCTTTGTTTCTCCAGTGAACCCCTGAACACCTGCCTGGGGCTCTTCCTACCGCCTCCCCTTCCAGCTGGCCACACCCTGGGATTCGCTCCTACTGTTTGCACCACTCACTTCCTCTGTGGGTGTTCAGACGGGGCCTCCCTCCTTTGATGCCACCTTCCACGTCCTCAGATGACTCATGACTGTGATCTCTCATCAGCACCTCTTCCTTACTTTACCTTGCCCATGTGTGGTTTCCTGGTTCTTGAGAGGATTTTCTCCTGCCTCTCCCTGCACTTTGGAGAGGGACAGGAGTCCGAATCTCATGCCCTGCTCTCCACCTTGATCCTGGCCCCCGCCTTTGTTTACTACTTCAAGGCAAGGACACTGTGCAATAACCTTCTTAATTGCTCTTACTGCATTCTTCATATCTTTCAAGTGATTTTTCTCATTGAAGTCTCATTCCTCGAATGAAAGACCCAGTTAACTCTCTCGTCCAGCCATGAGGACCACAGGTGCTTCGGTTTATTTATGGGTTCCCAAGACCTCCACTGCTCCCACCTGCCATTTACCATCATGAGTCATGAATACTCTCTGTGAACTGGCCCAGTATGGTGACTGATATCAGAATTAGTGGAGAGATCATCAACATGCATCCATTAGCATTTATTTACTTCACTGTTCTCAGGGGTAGAGAAGTTGTGGAAGACTGGTCTTGTCCTGGGTACATTTGCTGTGGTGTTGTGTTTACAGCTTAATTAAAAGGCCTCTGTTGTAGTGTGCTTTATATGGGTTGATTCACCTTCATAAGCATTATGGGGCATCTTTTGAGCACAGTCTAGGCCAGGACCTATGAGGGGTACGGTGATAGATTGAGAACAACTGCTGATGGAAATTTGCCATCTCACAGGGGAATGTGTTGGATACTAAAATACCCAGAAGATAGAATGTAACACTGCCAAAACACTGTGTTAATATAGAAGGGAGGAGAGAGGTTAATTCTGCATGACTTGCTCAAAACACCAACATTTCTGGGATGATCCAGCTCTGCCTTCAATGGAGGAACACTTGTTGCTTTAATGGGTGGAAGTCCCACAAGAATGCAAGCACTACAAGAGCAGGACCATGACTGTTGTGTTTACTGTTGCATCTCCTGTGTCTTTGGGACTCAGGATGTATTTGGGTAGATGAATGGAAAGAAATACAGGCAGATCCACAATTCGGGGAATTAAATGAAGGCAAAATCCCAGATGAAGGGATGGCTTGACTGGTTAAGAGTAGCAGGAAGAAATTAGACATATTGGTGAAATTGTAACTGCTTTGGTTTATGCATCAAGTGATTGAAAGAGAATGGTCAGAGAAATAGTTGGGAAGAATGAGCCCAGAAAGCACACGAATTGTGGCTTTACTTCGAATGAAGTGGGCTGCTAAATGGTATAGGAACTATTTCGGGTAGGTCTTGTAAGTTTCGAGAATGGATTTTAAATTGGCAAAGAGATCTCTGATGCGGCCGTAGCTGGCCTCTCCATGCTGTGGGTAAGTAGCTGAAGATATCTGTTGAGGCCACAATGCCAGTTAGCTGGCAGCAGCAAGGCCAAAACCATTTCTGGCCTCTCATTTCCCTATTTTCTTCTCTCCAGACGTGTGCAACAGCACCGATCTTCCGGAAGTCGAGATCATTAGCCTGCTGGAGGAGCAGCTGCCCCATTATAAGTTAAGAGCCGACACCATCTACGGTTATGACCACGACGACTGGCTCCATACACCCCTCATTTCTCCAGATGCCAACATTGACCTTACAACCGAGCAAATTGAAGAGACGCTGAAGTACTTCCGTGAGTAGTTCCTTTCGTTTGGTGAGGCACTGCAATGGCCCATGCTTCTTAGCTGTGGCCCTGCATGGGACCTTGTACTGGTTAGCAGGTCTTACAGCCTGCCATTCATGGACGGGTGCTCCAGGAAATGTGGCTGTCGGGTTTAGTCTCACACATGGCCTTGATTTTGAGTGTTATGAATAGATATTTTAGTGTATTGGGACCAAGTACGAAATTTCATTTGAACCAGTTTTCTCATAACTGTAGAGAAGAATTTGAAAATGCTCCCATTTCCCCCCTCTTACCAAAATACCATGTGAATCCTTAGAAACTCCCTGGGAAGGAGTTTGCATTTAAACCAAAGGTACTGGGAATTCTTGGCTGCTTAGTATTATTTATAGGACATAACAAAGCATGTATAACAAGGCTGACAATTTTTCTTTTTTTAAAAAATTGAAGTATAATTAATATACAACATTATATTAATTTTAGATGTACAACATAATGACTTGATATTTGTCCGTGTTATAGAATGCACCACCACAATAAGTCTTGTTAACATCTGTCCCCATACAGAGTTAGAAAAAAATTTTTTTCTCATGGGGAGAACTTTTGAGATCTCTCTTAGCAATTTTCAAATATGCAATACATAATATTAACTGTGGTCACCATGCTGTACATTTTATTCCCATGACATATTCATTTTATAACTGGAAGTTTGTACCTTTGACCCCCTTCACTTGTTTCTTCTACTTCCCCAACCTTCCTGCCTTTGGCAACCACCTGTCTGTTTTCTATATCTGTGAACTTAGTTTTCCAAGGCTAATGATTTCTGTATGAAAGCCCACTAAGCTGGTTATTCAGGAAAATCAAAAGGCTGCTCCAGTGACAAACCAGTTCTGCCTTGGGCTGACACCTGGTAGGGTGAGCAGTACACTAGGTGGGTTCTCTCCACCCCACCCCCCACTTCCCAGTGTGTGAAACCTGATTTTGCAGATTTAGAAAATGTGATAATTTTAAAAATTCATGCTAATGATGTTTCTGATGTTCATTCAAGAGGTGCCTTTGTAGAAATAATTTTACTCTCTGGAAATTCACTGCAACCCTATGAGATGGGTAGGACAGACCAGCTCTCCTTTGTCTTAAAACTTCTGACTTTAAAATTCCAGTCAACTTTAGCCTAGTCTAAATTAGTGATGTCACTTTGGAAGTGACATCATTTACATACCTGTGTATCATTATGTCACCTTTAAAAATAAAAAGTATAGCAATCTTGCTTCTACTTGATGGTAACATGGTTCAAAACGAGCTTATAACAGCAGTAAGTTTTCTGTAATTATTGTCTCAATACAGAATGATCTCCAGTGTTCTTAAATTTGGGAAATCACTTATAATGAGTTGGAACTACAAGTTTCTCTTTTAGAAAGTATCTGGGGCTATTTTCACATTTTCTCTATTAGATGTTAATGAGGAAGGAATTTTGTTTAGACTGATCTGTGTTTTATACCTAAGACAAATCCTACAGTCTTTGTGAACACAGCAGATAATCCATTTCAACAGGAATAAAAATAGAATAGTCCACACCAGGGCAGATATGAAACATGTTAGACTTGTACCAGTGTTCACATTGGAGCTTTAGAATTTCTGATGTGTCTGGTAGCATATAGGAAGCTCTTTGGCAGTCACTTTTGTTGACGCACGGTATCTGTTACACCAAGAGATGTGGTGTTGGGTAGAAAACTGTGTCCGGAGTCACGTCCTTGGCAGGTTCTGTATTTGGTTCCTTCAGACTGCTTCACGGTATAATTCACAGCAGAACTATTTTTTCAAAACTCCTCGTGTGTTACTTAATCTTCCTTAAGAGATTGTGTGATTCTGTTGGACCCTGCTTGGCTGTTTCTGTCACCGGAGGCTCCTGGATCCCTTCTCATACACAGATTAACCACTTACATTTTCAGCATAGTGGGAACCATCCACAGGGAGTACTTCACTGTTTTTGTAGAATTTTCCTATGAATTGCTCCTTTCATCCCTGTGAAATGTCTGCAGTTTGGGCAGGGCTGGTTTGATTCTCAAGGAAGTAGAAGCATAGTATTTATTCCATAGTACTGATCTCCCATCTTTTCAAATACTTGCAACAGCAGACTTGAACAGACACTGTGGCTTATTTCTGTTTGTTCGTTCTGTTTTTATTTATTTATTTTTAAGATCCTATCTATCTATCTATCTATCTATCTATCTATCTATCTATCTATCATCTATCTATTTATTTTAGACAAAGAGGATGTGTGCAGGAGAGCGTGTGTGCAGGTGGGGGGTAGGGGCAAGGGAGAGAGAGAATCCCAAGCGGACTCCCTGCTGTGTGTAGAGCTTGAACTGGGGGCTTGATCGCAGTTGATCCCAGGACCCTGTGATCATGACCTGAGCTGAAATCAAGAATGGAACGCTCTTAACCAACTGAGCCACCTAGGTGCCCCAGTTACATATTTAAGGGAGGGAGAAAAAAAATATGATGGATTTGGCAGTGGATAAAACAAATTATACTAAGATTAGAAGAAACAAAGTAAATGCTGAGCAGAGGTTCTAAAGGTTCTTAGAGCATAGTTTGCCCCAAGTCTGACCTTAATTCTGTATTTTCTTCTGTGATACTTGCACTTAGAGCAAAGTAGGTATTTGCTAACTTGATTAAATGAATGATCAAGGTTAGCTCTTACATATAGCACACTCCTTAGCAGGGATTTCAAACTGAGGTCCTAGGACCCCCAAAAAGTCTGTAGAGGGAAATTGGGGATTCTGTGAAGTTCTAAAGGAATGAAACGATGTCTTTATTTTCACTAACTTCTAACTGAAATGCAGCATTTCCTGTCACTGTGAAGATAGAAAACAAAGCATGGTGGTATTAGCAGGACCTGTGATTTTTTCACCAATAGAAATCAAGATTTTCATGTCATGTTGCAGTGGAAACAGATACTTTGAAATACCACCTTTACTCATCACTGCTTTGAAATTACATTCATTATTAGGCATGCCGATAGCCCTTGCTATCTAATACATTGATAATGAAGCTCTTATAGCACAGACTTTTTTTTTTAAATATTTTTTTCTTTATTTATTTATGATAGTCACACACACACACACACACAGAGGCAGAGACACAAGCAGAGGGAGAAGTAGGCTCCATGCACCGGGAGCCCGACGTGGGATTCGATCCCGGGTCTCCAGGATCGCGCCCTGGGCCAAAGGCAGGCGCCAAACCACTGCGCCACCCAGGGATCCCTAGCACAGACTTTTTGCAAGTTTTAATACTTGCATTGTAATATAATTGGTTTCCTTTTGTAGTCCTTTGTATTTTATGTTATGTTTTCAACTGTTTATTCTTTTTTTTTTAAATTTTATTTATTCATGAGAGACACAGAGACACAGGCAGAGGGAGGAGGAGGCTCCCTGCAGGGAGCCCAATGTGGGACTGGATCCCAGGTCTCCAGGATCACGCCCCTGGCCGAAGGCGGCACTAAACCGCTGAGCCACCCGGGCTACCTTTATCTTTTTCTTCTAAGGAGGGGTGCGTGAGCCTTGCCAAGCTGGCCTGAGAGGTCAGTGGAAAGCACAGATCAGGGGCCCTGCTCTGTGCATGGTGTCCTCTTTGGGTTTCATTGTTTGTTTACACGTGTGTAACTAGGAGATGCTCTGACCACGACACAGTGACTCACCTGTGTGTGTTAAATCAGTTGTGAGGTGTGTGAGAAGATAACAGAGCTGTTTCCTCTTCGGTTTATTTTCTTATCAGTTAGGGCAGTGATTCTCTGTTATGGGTGGGAGTGGGGAGAAGAGACCCTAGAGATTTTGATAATGGGAGATGAGGTAAAACTCAGCCCTCTTCTTACAGGCCATCCCTCAGAGTAGAGAAATTACACTTTGCCTTTTAAATCTGGCCCTTATCTGGCTTGTTGTTTTTGTTTGTTTTGTTTTTTAGTACATGTACTGCCAAAGTGAGTACTTTTATTTTTTTATTTTCAGTAGCCTCTGTGGCTAATATGGGGCTTGAGCTCCCAACCCCGAGATTAGGAGTCATATGCTTTGCCCATTGAGCCAGCCAGGTGTACCTCACCTGGCTTGTTAAGAAGAGGTGTCTACCTCTTTGGGGGTCTACCTTTACCAGGTGGTAGAATGACCCTTTCAGGCAAATATTTAACAGGTTGATTTTTTGACTCCCAGGGAGTGTGAAAAACACAGAACATGAAAATGATTCACACAGCAAACGTACCCATAGATAGGGGACATTTAGGACTAAGTGGTCTAGGAGGAAGAAAGAACAGTCAACGTGTAGCCCTTGCCGTTATCAGGCACTGCTCCTAATTCCTTACATGTATCTCATTCAGTTCTCATAGTGACCTCTGGGAGAGAGTCTTGCTGTCCCCATCCTGCAGGTGAGGACACTGAGGCACAGGGAAGTTAAGACGCTTGCCCAAGGTCACACAGCTAGCACAGTGGGGTGCTGAATTTCAAACCTACGTTGTCTGGTTTGACTGCATGCTTTACTTTCTCAGAAGAGCAAAGTGAGAAAACCACTTAAGAATAAAGCTTACTTGGAAAACATGATACAAAGAGCAAACCCTCAGTTTGACTGTATCAGGAACTATTTATCTATAAAATGTGTGTCCCACATATTCAAAATTCAACTTTTTTTTTCCCCCATAAAGGTCGGCGTCCCAAGCGACAATCAGCCAGATATAACTTAATTTCAACTTGAGGTTTCCTCCCTTCTTCCCTTGTGGTTTTGTCTTTGTCCTGTGGTCTGGAGGTCATGCTTCCCCATCTCTGGTGGAAATGACTTGTGGGTGCTTGGACCTTTCTTGCCACACAGCATCCTGTAGACACCAGACATGAAGGCAGCTGTGTTGGTGCCAGGTGGCCTGCATTTCCAGGGCCTGCTCTCTGTAACTTTTTTTTTTTTTTAGATTTATTTATTTATTCATGAGAGACAGACAGAGAGGGGGAGGTGGAGAGAGAGAGAGAGAGAGA